CCGACCACTTTGGAGTTTTTTTGCAACGCAGAGGATGCGTTTGTGTGGCTGTATGAGTGTGGCTGTGTATGTGTGGCTGTGTATGTGTGGCTGTGTATGTGTGGCTGTGTATGTGTGGCTGTGTATGTGTGTGTGTCTGTGTGATTGTGTATATGGGAGTGGGAGTGAGAGTGTGTCTGTGTGTATGCGTTTACAGACCGACTGTAAAATATCCAATATTAACAAAATGGAATATTTATTTAAATTAGTTACTAATAAAATAAATAATTAATATATAAAATGTACGAAAATACATGTTTTGTATAAATTCATTGAAAAAGGTACGCCATTACTCTCGTAGTACCCTTTAACCCTACTTGTTAAGAACAAATGTTGCATACTTGTTGGCGATTTAGTAGAGTATCTGCTATTTCACAATATCCAATAGCTGTTTTATCATATTCGTTCTCTCTCGGTATTCTGCCTTGTTATGGTTTTATCCGGGTTCTTTTCCAAAGCGGCGAATTTACGGGAGCGGGACGCCATCTCCGTTTATAGTACATGCGAGTGAGAACGCTACTAAAATGAATGATTCTGGACAAGATCGGGCTCAGGACCGAACTTCGACACACACATATGGTATGTACAATATACATACATATGTAATTTTGTGATTGTATAATAAAGGATGAACGCCCCAGGATTGTGTAATCTTCTAATCGCGTCCACCAGGAAATAACTCTTGTTACCGGTCAGCTGGGGACTTTAATTTCTTAATTTATTATAATTTGTAGTTTAATTTTTCACTAAATACACGAAGATTGAAGTCGATCGGATAACGTTTAGATATGAATAATTAACATAATTATTAAACCATTTATTTAGTTCAAAGCAATATTTCGAACATAGTTGAAAATGTCGTTAGACGAGAAAACAATTGTGAATTCAAAAATTCGCTTTATATATAAATACAAATTCTGAAATTGTTCCATGACGAACATCCCAATCGGTGCAGACATTAAAGGCTCAAAATATTAGTGTTCTCGCATCATGTGATGGAGATATCGCCATGGCCGGCCATTCATGGCGACTAGGGAATCAATTTCACTTCTTTTAATTAATTTTCCTTCGATTAACATTAAACAATATGGCCGCATCGGCAGCTTTAATGTCTGAATCGAAACATTCACTCGTAGCATGGAGAAGGAAATTTTTTAATTAAATGTTCAAAGAGCGCGTGAAAAATACAAAAGGAGCCGACAGCCGCCTTTTAAAAAGGCCATTAAGAGCCACTCTTGACATTTATATTGACAGCCAATAATAGACAACATAACTAAAGCCGTTGTATAGAAACCACATCAACAACAACTGCAACTGGCCACCAGGACTTCTGGTGAGAAATAAAAACCCTTGCTTGGCATATGCCAGCGGCTGGGTAGCCCGAACCAAAAACCAGTAGCCTCGACTCCAGCGTCCAATGAAAGGGGCATATGCATAAATCTTGAGCGGCATTTTCCAGCCATGGCAACAGCAAGCCCAGCAATGACAATTGTGTCAGCTACTGTGCGAGCAACAAGCAACCAGCGACGAAGAACCTGGTCCCGCCCGGACTTCGCGCCTTCATTCATGGCGGCGCAGCTTAGATGTGGATACGAAAAGTAAGCGCGACACAGTGTCACCTATTCGGAATAAGAGTGAGCAAAAATCCAATCGAACGATCGTTCTTCGACCAAACAACTATGATATCAAGACAAAAATTGTAAACGAGTAATCTTCCAGGTAAAAAAGAAAATTATCGCCATAAAACTCATTAATATTCTCAATCCACAATATTATTATTTATGTATATTTATCAAATTAATTTTAAGCATTGTATTAGTCTAGTACAACAACCACCCAACCGAGAAATCGCTTTGGAAACCTTAGTCTTATGTATCAAAAAACCTAATAAAAAATTAAATAATTATAAACATTAAAATAAAAATGGAATCAGATAATAATAAAAACAATTTGGTGATAACGAGTAAAATAGGATTAATTAACTCCAATTCCACTAACTTTTCTATATCAGTTTTTTTTTTTAATTTTTTCTAAGCAAATTTATTTAATACTAAGGTCTTTTTTAGCTGAAGAAGAAAATGCCATCAAGCAACTAAAGGAATCCATACCCCTAATGGTAAAACAGGAAGAATGAAAATAGGGCCCACTATATCTTTCTGTTATATCTATATATCTGTTAATGATTAGGATCGACTAAAATAAGAACATATTTATAGACGGCACCCGGTTATTCAGAAAACGAGTAATGAAACGTAGTTTTTAATAGATAATAAATGATAATAATGATAAATGGGAGATTTCCCTTTAACTCTTTGTCTTTATGCTTAATTAGCTGTTAAGTAGAATTACTTTTCCTATTTTTTAGCCTGATAGGTCTATAATGTCTCTGACCACATATGGCTATGATTCGGGGCATAGCTGGCCAACTGACAGCACTTTTTGTTGATTTACTAAATAAAATAAATTTGAAATTTGAAGGACAATTCGAAGATCCCTATCCATCATGGGCAATATTTATTTTAAAACAAGAGAGAACGCTACAGTCGAGCAAGCCCGACAGTGTAATACCCTGTACCCAGGTAAACTTCCGTCACTGAGTTATATGCGCCCATAGCAGCAACAAAAAGAGGAAGAAGAAGAGCGAACTTGTTGCTGCAGTTTGTGGGGGTTGTACTGGCGAGAATTTGTTTCGCTAATAACTTTTCTTGAACAACAGTAGACAATTATATATAAATTATGTGTGCAAAGTTTGGTTTAGGTAGCATTTGAAATGTGGACGCTATTGACGAAATTCTGTAGCGGGGGAAGGGGGGGAAAATTAAAAAAAAAAAAATAAACTCGTCCTTACTCGGACCTAGGAGAATCTGGATGCCAACTTTGGTTATTCTAGCTTTTATAGTTTCTGAGATCCTCGCGTTCATCCAGACGGACGGACAGACGGACGGACAGACGGACAGACGGACGGACATGTCTAGATCGATTTCTCTCGTCATGCTGATCAAGAATATATATACTTTATGGGGTCGGAGATGCTTCCTTCTGTATGTTACATACTTTGCACAAACCTAATATACCCTGTTTACCCTACGGGTACAGGGTATAAAAAGGCAAACAGGTTAAAATTTTTGTCATGTTTGTTTAAACTAGGAACAATTGAAGTAGGGAACAATTCATTAATTAACAATTCAATTATAAATTGCACTTTCAGATGAATAATGAAAATATTTACCCTAATATGTACATTTATTTTGTAATTTTCACTCTAACATTATACAGTAAATAACACTCTTAAAGTACTATATGTGTATCAAATTCGACTAAAATTTTAATCTTATTAAGGCTTGACTTTGCATTTTTCACCTATGTTGAAGGAATAAATTCTGCGCCCAAATCTTGCATGTTCTTTGACCAATTGTCGACTATCAACATGGTCTATAGTTGATTCTTGAAATGTTGTGTCATTTTGATTCGAAGAATCACTGTATTACATGGTATTACTTCGATCATTCATCATTTCAGTAACTTACCCATTGATTTCTACATTCTGTATCTCTGTAAAAAAGTAATTAATATCCACATGGATGGTTACATTGTCCAACTGTGCAGTAGCTGCTACCGCTATTGCCTGTAACTAGCGAAAAGTAAATTATTTTTATGTGCGCGCCTTGCATTTGCATTTTCCAATTTTTAACACCTCTGGGGGTCATCAAGCGTAGCAAACGCTAGAAGTCCACAGACTGGACGCGCAGCAATCATAATTATTACCAAAAGCGTAACGAAAGTGTGTTGAAGTGTAGTCGGAGCGGTGGAAGCCGTCGGAGCGGTTGGAGCGGTGGGAGCGGTGGGAGCGGTGGGAGCGGTGGCGTTGACTCCAGTGGCAGCCGTGGGCTGACCGACAATTATGCGGACCTCTACGATCCCGTAGACAGTGGACGGAGGGGGAGGATGGGCGGGCTGGGGAGGCAAAAGCAGAAGCAGAAAGCAGGGAGCAAGACTAGCAGACATGTTGACGTACCTTTTGGGCATAAAATTGAAATCCATGCCAGGCCATGAGTGGCAGAAAGGATGCGCCGTCGTTGTTTGGCATTAAATTTGCCACTTTGGCAGTGTGGCGGCGCACAACAAGAACAACGACACGAACAAATTTATATCGCCGCAGGGCTTGCTGAAATTATGCCATCAAATTGGTATCAACAGCAGCAGAGCAAGAGCAGTAGTAACAAGCAGCAACAACAACAACAACAACCATCAAACCAACAACACCAACAACAACAACTACAGGAATGTACAAGGGAACTGGCCTGATAGGAAGTTGCCGGTTTTAGAACCAGCTACGACAAACTGAGAGCTTTATTTCACGTAAAATATAGCCGACTGGGTGTGAACGCAATGTGCGTTGATTTTCTTGTTCTGGTTCTTGTTACTGGTATTTTTTACTTGTTATAAAAATCATTATACTTGTAGTTACATGCAATGTAATATCAATAGAAATCGACAAAAGAAACACACTTACTTGGAGACAACTAAGACTGCAACTGAAAAATGTCCCCATACCAATGATATAGATCTAGGTTCTTTACATTATCGAGTCGTATACTGAAAGAAGGTACTGAAAGTCGGTAGAGGATGTACCAACCTTTCTGTGTTTGCTAAGACTCTAGCTCTATTATTTTTTTATATTTATTTATATATTTATTAGTTTTATATATCTGTTCACTGTTTATAATGTTGGTGGCCAACTGCCAAAAAAAAAATGAAAACGCCTTTCAATTTAGAAAACATTTTCAGAAAGTTTTTTCTTAAATTTAGAGAAACCCACGCCGCAAAAATATTGTAATTTTAGAAACGACTGTAGATTTAGGTAGTTTACTTAAAATATATCTGATTTAAAAAGAAAATTAATTTTCAAAGCAAGGAACACATCCTTTTAGATCCTTTGATTAACCACAAATTCGCTGCAATTGGGATCTTATCGGCAATCCTTTTATTTCTTAACAAGAATTTAACGAATTCATTTGCAACCAATGTATGAAAATAGGAAATATATATGTGTTACTGGCAGCATACTTAGTAACCCCTGATCATATCAGCCACGTCCCACTTTTCATCAACTTTGAATGGCCCCTCAACGTCGCAGCAGTTTTCGGTACAAATGCCCACGGTGTATTGGGATATGCTTCGAACGTTACGATAATACAATACCTCCATGCATTTGCTTATTAAATTCGAAGCTTCCTGAGCGGTGAACTCGCGACGTTGGGGCTTACTCTGGCGCACCAGAGGCACGACCATACCGCGAGCAAATCCTGCAGTCACAACATAATCCGTAAACGCACGCCCACGAAAGTTGACATTCGCCAAATAGGGCTTGCCCCCCGCATCGATGCCGCCGACAACAAGATCTACGAACAGTGGTTTCATCCATAAGTTGCGGGTATAGGTTATACGCGTGAGCCAAGTGGACAAGGCTTGCGGACGCATGTCGATGTTCTTTTCATAGAACTGATCTTCTAACATCTTCTGCTCGATGGTTCGGTGAATGCACTGAACGTCTGGGAAATCTCCGCTGCCGCCCAATAATATGTTGTGGTTTATCTTAAAGACGCGGTCGATGTTCTGAAAGCGCGACAGGTTCCCATACGAGACGAGAGTGTCGGCGGCAATCATGACCCCGCGATCGAACTTGATGCCCACTACTGAAGAGCAAGTGGTTACCATAGCACCGTTCTCCGCACTCTGAAGCTCTCCCGATTTGAAGCCCGTATTGTTGGGGTATTCCGAATTGTTGTTGGATGGGCTGGCCCATGTTCCTTTCCTCCCTAACAGGTTCCCAAATCCGCCGTTGAGCATTTTGCTTTCTACTGTTTAACTACGCACGTCAAAATAATGAGAATCGAGAATGAATGACAAGTACAAGCCTGGAACCTTTGATCAATGTCAAACGACAACTTATGAATTTATTTTAACTTCTCTAATGATATTCCTATTCAACTAAATACATTACATTCTTTATACAAGCTTATATTATCTGTAACGACACACCAGTTTTATTGTCTTGATTGTGTTTTAAACATATCTAGAAATTATTAATGATGTAAAGAAGAAGAGCGAACTTCAGCTGCAGCTTGTGGACGTAGTACCTAACTTTTCTTATAATTAACCGATTTAGATTAAATTTGATACAAAAGTAGATAGTTATATATAAATTATATGTGCAGAGTTTGGTTTATGTAACTTTTGAAATGTGGACAGTATTGACGAAATTCTGTAGCGGGGGAAGGGGGGGAAAACTCAAAAAAGTAAAATAAATTCGTAGAGACTAGGGACTAGGAGCGTTAGCATACCAACGTTGGTTTATGTACGGTCAGCCGTTTCCGAAATCCAGGCGCTCATCCAGGCAGACGGCCGAACAGACGGTCAGCCGGACAGACGGACGGACATTTCTAGATCGATTTCTCTCGTCATGCTGATTCAGAATATATGTATATACTTTATGGGGTCGTTGCATGTCTGCATGTTACATACTTGCACAAACCTAATATATCCTTTTTACCTTCGGGTACAGGGTACAGGGTACAGGGTATAACAATATTAAATAGACCCGTTTCTTGCATTACTTCTCCATGACGATGTGTAAGAGAACTTATTACTTAATCGGATCCCGAGCAAGTGATTGTTTTCAAAGCCATTTGGAACCACTTATAGAATCAGTAGCAGTGATTTCAATTATGATCAGACCTAATATTTGTTTTGTATTTCCCATTTCGTATTCAAACTTGTATATCAATGAATACCAATATCTGATCTGATCTTTCATTTCTAAGTAAAATTACGTGGATGACGATTCACTTTCAGTGAAGGGTATACAATTATTTCCATGGTGGTGAGTTAACATGGATTGTATATCATATCTCATATCATATACTCTGTGTTACGATTATATACCACTTCTACTTTAACTTGAACTTAAGAATAGCCAGATTTAATTACATACTAAATTTGACTACGAATTCCAAGAATTACGGCTGTTCTGAGAAATCAATAAAGCGGTACATCAAAAATATATATGTAAATAAAATAAACTCCCACTGCATACACATACGAGTATAACGCATTTCTGCGCGAAATTGAAGGTCTATTAAAGCTCTTATAGTCTCTGAGATTAAGCTTTTCATACAGACGGACAGACAGACAGGCTAAATCGACTCGGCTTCTGATGCGGATCAAGAATATATTTACATATATACTGTTACATTTCGTTCCTTGTACATATATCACTAATATAATATTGTCATTGTGCGACACTATAGGAACGAAATTCAATTTCCCTAATATATTGTTCGAATGTGGTTTCTTATTAATGGCATATGCAAAAAATATTTTGACTAATAATCATTCTAAACTACAAGTACAAGTTTTCTCGGAAAAGTTCGGTGACTCTAAGTGTTATACCTTCCGAGATCCTTGAGTATGTATAGACGGGGTGTACAGACCTGTGGGTGTAGGATATAAAAAGTATTGAAACTAAATTTTCCACAATACATTTTTAGAAGCATGTAATGTTCGTCACATCGAACTCATTGCTGTTTTTGGTTTTTATTTATTAATGCACACATAAATTATTCCTTATAACCATTTCAGATCGAGAAATTAAGAGCACAAAAAATAATTACGCAGTATTGCAATAATTTCATAAATGCCAGCGACCAGCCCGGAGCCGTCGGCATCCAGCAAAGGCAGGCGATACGGAAAAGAAGGAGTTGCGCCACAATCAACGCCCCAATCCAGACCCCAGACCGGCAGAGGCAGCCATGGCAGTTGAGCGACTGAAGTCGGCCCAACAGAAGTTACGATGTGGCTAAAACGAGGGCAGGTTGCTCGAGCCTGACCTAGAGCTGGCGACTGACCATGCCGACTGCTGCCAACTGCCAGCATCTTTTGCAATTGGCGCGGCATTTGTAGCCCTTAGCCAAAATTGGTAGGAGTTGATGCGTTGATGCAATTACACCATAATATTCACACTTTGCGAGGTGAGAAAATTGCGGGCTATTAAAAGATCATAATAAACCGCTGGCCGTTGCACGAAGCAATGCGAGGAATCGGGATGAAGATGCCGTGCAACCACGGCCGCAGCAAATGTGGCAGCTTCAAGAGGAGTAGCGGCAAAGATGCTTTGCAACAGCCGACATTTATGACAGGCCATGAAATTATTTTTTATCCTTTTGTTTTGTTCTTTATCAGCCCTTTCTACTCTTCATTCATTTACCATTTTTAATTTAGTGCAAGTAATTTCAACGCCACTCTCAAGCACCACCGACAACAAAAACAACAACGGCAAAAAAGATAGCGCCAATGTGACGACGACAATGTTGCACACATGTCAGAGTTGGGGCGCTTCGCTTGATTTAGAACTCCGTCCCAGTGGCGTTCGCAGAACTTGCGGCTTTAAATGTGACAAGGGAATTGATTTTAAAAGCACTTTGAACGCCATAAAACAAGCCGAAATGAGCCCGGCCAGCAATTTTTAAATATGAAGGCACATATTTCTTCAAAGCGCTTCTTCTTCAGCCTTGTGTGTCATAAGAGTCGCCTTATTCTCTAAGTTTCATCCATTGTATATATATATATATTTCTCTTTCCATTTTTTTTTTATGTTCGGCTCTTATACATACATACTATGTATGTATCTATCACAGCTATATATTGATGATTATAATAATAATATAATATAATAATTATATAATAATCGGTTGTTTATTTTCAAAGACATTCAATGTTTACATACCGACATAAAAGATGGAGCACCCTGTATAATATACAATCTGAACTGTTTCAAAATTTAATTTTGATTGTGTATCCCTAGAATATACCTAGAATGAAATCGTCTTAAGCTAGACATGGACTCCTTAAAAAATATGGGATTACGTTCCTAGATCTCGGCATATGCACAAAAAAAGGTTTTGCTGTTTACATTTCCGCTGTTTTTACGGTCAAAAATTATTCCAAATTAACAAAAAGTTACTCCAAGTGTTGAATATTAATCATTAACAGATTAATCTTATTAAAAAGGAAAATATTTTGAAAAATGTTGCAGCAGCCTTATATAAAATTAAAGAAACATTTGGTGACTTTGGCATATAATTTATTCATAAGCCTTTTTAGTGGTAATATTTTTGTTCTTTGTGGTGACCGCTAGTCATATACCCATATCCAGTCAATGTTTTCTCCTTAAGCTCTCTAAGAGGTAAAATAAACAACAATTCAAGGCAATACTGATTACATCGATGGAGTCCCGCGTATTATATTTTGAAAGTGCGAACTTTTAATTTTAACATTCACAATAAGGTAGTATTAATTGCATGACCTGGAGCATTTTCCAACTACAAAAGTGAGTTAAAGTAATGCGCTTCTTTTTTTTTTAAATATTTTTATCTTCTATAGTGTGAGACCGAGAGGAAAAGTTAGCTAATTCTTAATCGTGTTAGACCGAGTTCGTACTAAAAGAGGTCGTGTTAAGCGAGGGCTAGGTGTACTAATATTGGCTTTCTTTTTGCGTTAAAAGTTTAAACAACATACAGGCAGATACCGTTTTGGTTAATCCCTTAATCCCCATCAGCATGGAAAACTTTTGAACCACAACCGCTAGGGACACCAAACTCTGTATTTAGATTGTTTTATCCACACGCAGATCAAGTTTATAGCTAACATAGGCTCGATCGGTGGCTCAATACCATAGCACCACACGATTATAAATATGTTTTTATTTCAGCAATCAGCGCTATCATCATAATTATGCATAATTCTAATAAATAAATTATTTATTTTCTTATTCAGTAAAATGAGAACTGGAAAGAATTTGAACACTTTTGTTGCCCTCAGACACAATTTTAACGATTCACAACGTCAGACAAATCGTTGCCATGTGCTTATAATTATAAGTTTATTTACTATATGATATTCTTCTTTCGACGCTCTCAAAAGTTTTTTAAAGAGTTCATTTTCCAAATAGCAAATATAGTACAATAAGTACTATGTATGGTTATACGTACATACATACATATCTTCGTAAAGCACCGGGCGGAATGTCAGTCCTGACTTAACTGTGTGCTTCCTCAGCACGGTCGAGTTATCCCCGAAAAGTCCGACGCTGGACATTTAATTTTGATTTATAAATCGGGACGTCCCGCCAAAATTGGAGCGTTCGGCAACGCTGATATGTACATACATTTAAATTTTTGTAATTTTGTAATTTGTTGTTGCTGCATAAAGTTACTAATGAAAACCTTAATGCCAAATGTACTAAACAACAAAAAAATTATTTTTAAAAATGTTAAATAATTTTTTAATTAATTAACATTTCTTGCTCTGACAGTGCAAGACGAATGAACATACATACATTTAGTTACGTAGATTACAGTCCCCAAATTTAAAACCGGTCGGAAAAAATGTATAACACAAACTTTTTATTTGAAAAGGTGAATAAATATTAAAACCCCAATAATTCAAGCTCCACCACAAATTTCGAAAATCCGAGTATGCATATTCGATTTTTCAAACAAACTTTGGAGCTAGTTTTTCCCCCATTGGAGCTCGAATTTTCCAAAATCCCTTCTTAGTGCGCACCTACACTATGATAGGATACTTGAGCCCAAATTTCCTAGCTTTTACCGTTTGGGCTGTGGGCTGTTGACGCGGTTTCCTTTTGTGCCCCAACATTTTTTTTACAGGAAAACTCCCATATTTCAGGCCCCAAGAAAAATCTCAAAAAACCAAGTATGCAGTTTTTCTTGGAATTTTTCTGGGAGTATACAAACTTTTTGTTTTATAGCAAACTCGTCACCCGAAATTGTTTACTATGTCCCTAATATGTAT